CACGCACCCATAACTACTGAGCCTGCGCTCTAGAGCCCACAAGCCACAACTACTGAGCCCGTGTGCCACAACTACTGAAGTCTGCACGCCTAGAGCCTGTGCTCCGCAACAAGAGAAGCCACTGCAACGAAAAGCCCGCACACCACAACGAAGAGTAGCCCCCGCTCACTGCAACTAGAGAAAGCCTGCACACACCAACAAAGACCCAACACAGCCAAAAATAAATAAATAAATAGATAAGTAAATAAAATAAAAGCTGTGCTGCATGAAGTATTACTTCACAAATGTATATTGGCTATATTTTAGGACTTCATTTTAAGAAATCTTGCCTCTCCATTTAACTTCTTAATTACTCAGCAGAATCTTCTGCATTAATACAAATATTAAAGATATAAACAAAATTCAGACTAGGAATTACATACTGAATTATGAGCAAAATTAGCATACTATGTGGCAATTAGTGATAAATAAAAGTTATTTATGCAAGTGAAAATAATTACAACAAATCAAGTATTTCTGAGGTCCACCTGAGGGGAAGAAAAATGAAAGAATTCATGGCCTTCCTGCCCCTAATCTATTCCTCCCCTCTTCCAACCTAGGTTTGATGGGAAAAGGGAGATGTCCTACCTAAATCAAGCTCACCATACCCCAATTCCTACTGAACTATCCAACAGGCCAGACTATAGAAAGTAGAAGCACGAGCATGTGGAAGAGGGAGAATGGCTGACAGAAAGAGAAAGATTACAGAAAAATACAAAGAAAACACAGAAGTAACACCTAGTGGGAGAAAAGTGGGGGACATTTTCAGAACAATAAAACCCTATTATTTAATTTTTCCTAATTCTTAGTACCAAGGTAATAAGTATTTTGATTTGATTCTGTGACAGAATGAATATGGCAGGTTTGGGTATGGAGCTGTGGCTAGAGAACTGTCTGGGGCACTGAACTCTGAGAGCAGATAATAAGAAATGGATATAGTAACAAACTTCATCCTAATCCCTCCCTTTAAAAACGAAAGCTTTCAAGGGCTTCCCACTTCCAAAATAGCAAAAAAGGAAGAAAAAAAAAGTGTGTAGCACACAGCTTTGTAATACATGATCTGAGATAGACTGTGTATAACAAACTGTGGGCAGAAGCACTTAGGAACTTTGTACAACATTGTTTATAGGTGTATCCTGTTTATTAAACTTATCAGACATGATTTGCATTAGTTTCAGAATCCTTAATGAAATCTTGATGCTTAATATAACATTGGTATTAAAATGTCTGCTATCCTTGCAAACAGCCTTTGTATGAATTTTAATATTTCTGCCAATTAATATATATTTGTAATTTATCTAAATAACAAAACTGTTAATGATGGTTTTCAGCTTTATGTGACTAGGGTTGGTCACAACCTCTGAGACTCAGTTTCTTCATCCAGAAAATTAGAACAAAATGAAATAACCTCTAAGCTACCTTCTGGTCCTAAAATTCTAAATATCTGTGTTATCATCTCTAGTATGCAATCTCAGATAAAGTACTTAGCTGCAATTCAAAATATTTTCAAATTATCCTTCATCTTCAAAAATAAAAATATTTCTCTAAACCAGTATTAATACAAAGTATTCGAAGAGTAGTCCCCGCTCCACGAAAGCCCTAGCAGCAAAGAAGACACAACACAGCCAAAAAAAAAAAACCCAGAGTATTCATTCGTTCATTCAAGGAATATATGTTGAGAACCTATGTGGCAAGTATTAAACTTAGCACTGGGAGGATACAAAACTAAGCAAATAGATGTGATACCTATATTCATGAAGCTTACAGAGAAGCTGGGGAGACAAACCAAATAAACATATGCATAAATGTAATATCACATCTGTAATAAGTGATATGAAGGAATTAAAAGAATATATTAACAGGGAATCTAAGAGACTTCCCTTAATGAACTGAGAGGAAGAGTACGTATATGGGCTACATAATTCTAAATCTGTCTAGACAGAAATGAGCATGGCATGTTCAAGGAACTGACAGAAGGCCAGTGTGATTGGACATAAAAATATTTAAAGTAGTTCCTTGGAAACAGAAATTAAAACTTCTAAAATACAAAAGTATGTCTAAGTTCTTCCAAAGATATACTCTAAGAATTATTTTCAAGAAAGCTTCAAAGCATCACAATAATTTCTAATGTTAAAAAAAAAAACAAAAACGCTGTCCCATATCTCCCTGCAAAAGACCAAGTTAACTCTCATTGATCCCCTTCTCTTTTCACTTTACTGTTTTCAACTGCATAATAAAAATCACAACTTCTTTGTTCAACTTCGTTTACATTCCTTAGAAGAAAGCAGTTATAAGAATAAGAAGATACATGATGCTATTGCCCTGGCTCTGCCACTAACCTGTCCTATGGCTGACCTTGGTAAATGTTACCTGGCCACTTTGGGTCTAACGTTTGTTATCTGTGAAATAAAGGGAGTTCCAGAATTTCTTTTAGAATCCTTCTAACTCTAAAATTATGGTTCCACTGTAAAAATGCTTGTTCCAGTCTTGAAAACTGAAGAAAATGGACCAAACATCTCTGAATTCCACTAACCAAGATTTTGTTTGTTTGTTTGTTTTTGTTTTTAATTTTGGCTGCGTTGGGTCTTCGTTGCTGCACGCGGGCTTTCTCTAGTTGCGACGAGCGGGGGCTACCCTTCGTTGCGGTGTGTGGGCTTCTCATTGCGGAGCACAGGCTCTGGGCGTGCGGGCTTCAGTAGTTGTGGCACGTGGGCTCAGTAGTTGTGGCTCGAGGGCTCTAGAACACAGGCTTAGTAGCTGTGGCACACAGGCTTAGTTGCTCCGTGGCATGTGGGATCTTCCCGGACCAGGGCTCGAACCTATGTCCCCTGCACTGGCAGGCGGATTCTTAACTACTGCACCACCAGGGAAGCCCCACTGACCAAGATTTTACTTGCCTTTAAGCGCTTTTGTATTTATACAGCATTTGAACATTGTTACTGTGTTATAACAAACTACCAAATTTATAAAATTTATCCATAAATAACACCAAAGTTATCAAAAATACAGTTATATATTGTTTGAAACCTATACTTCCAACGAGACAGTAATACTTTAAACATGGATCCCTAAAATGTACAAAGTCAAAATCGACTTAGAAAGGCAGGAGGAAGACAGAATCATAATTCTTGAGAAAAGCAAAATTCTAGCAATAGGACATTCAAATTGTAATATGTGTATCAAATTTAACTTCCAAAAGAACTCATAAAAAATGAATATTCTAACCGTATGCTCATTCTAGACTTGGTATCAATTTCTAGTTAACAATATTTCTGATATTTAATCTATTTCCAAATGGAAGATGTATATACGGTCATAACTTTTCTTTTTTTAACAAGATTATCCATCACTAGAATTCAACGTTTTGATATTCTTAATATGAAAATAAAAATTAAAGGACCTATAAATTTTTTAACTTAGCTTTATATTTCATAATTCATATTTCAGCATCTCAGAACACTTAAGAACAATAACAATATAACCTTAAGAAGCATCAATTAAGCACCCTACTTTATGTACAGTCTTTAATATCAAGGTTTATTTTAACGGACGGCATTGTGTCCCATTCCTTCCAAAGGGGCAACAAACCACAGAATCCAATTAGATTTTTAACAACAAACTACAGGAATACTTTAAATATTAATCACTCATAACATGGTAAACATTTACTAGGCACTATAAGTTCTAAAAGCAAAGGGGCAAGATTATTCCTTAAAATACATTTCACCAAGTGCCCAAGGTGAAGACTGGCAAAGTGTCAACATCGTTTCTTCCCTCACCTCCCACCAACACTGATTGATTCTAACACTGAAATGTGTCTTGTAACGTTCCCTATCACTCTATTCCCACTATCATAGCCCTACTTCATGATTTCAACATCTCTGACCTAGACTACTGTTAACAGTTTCCTAGCTGGACTCCCTGTCTCCAGTCTTACCCTGTTCCAATCCAGCCCCAATAGTGACAACCAAAACATCTTCAGCATTGCCAAATGTCTCCTGGGGGTCAAACATGTCCTGGTTGAGAAACACTGCATCAAGCTGATCCCTTAACAAGAACAGCACTTACTTTGTAAGGCTGTATACACAATCTATGTCCATGCAACAAAAAGCAAAAAATTAACTTACCTAAGGCTGAAACTTACAACCTTGACATTAGGACCACCATGCTTAAAAATACACTGACTCATAAAAAGAGCCATAATCACTCTCTCTTAAAACCCCTCTGGGGACTTCCCTGGTGGTCGGGGTTAAGACTCTGTGCTCCCAATGCAAGGGGCGCAGGTTTGATCCCTGGTCTGGAAACTAGATCCCCGCATGCCGCAACTTAAGACCCAGCACAGCCAAATAAATAAATATTTAAACAAACAAACACACACAAACCCCTCTGAACATGTGGACATAAATCATCATCTTACTTCAAGCCTGAATTATGAAAAGTCAGTATCTTCTGTCAAAGTTTAACCATACTATATACATATTTAAGCTTCTGGATGTTAGAAAATTGTGATAATTTTTAAAATGCCTTTTGTGCTTTGATAAATCAGTCTCCTCAGAAGTTGATGAAAACCTTCCTAAGCAAATTACTGCCTACCTTTAAGGCTGCAAGTTACTCTGCATAGTATTCTCGTAAATATTTCTAGAAAAAAAAAAAAAAACTTAAAAAAACACTCGAATTCTTACACTTAAAAAAAAAAGTAAGATTAAAAAAGATCACACACACCCTTCTAATTTCCCATAATGATTATGCCCCTAACAGAAATCACCATTCAAAGATATAGCCAAGATAGAACAATACCTTTCAGAGGCGGTAAAAGAGAAAACGTAAAATATCTAAAAAAAAAAAAGCCTTGGTCAGTGAAACTATTAAAGGCCAGGCCCAGCAGAGCTGTAATACCGCAGGAGAGAGCACCTCCTACCACAAACGTCTGAAATGTGAACATTCGGTCCAGAGGAGCTTACCTTCAGTCGTTTGATCATTTCGTCGGTGGTGATCTTGTCGGTGATCTCCTTTACCCCAGGAGGGTAAGCGATCTTCCCGTCGGCACTCACAACGCCACAGAGGGCAGGGGCAGGCTTCGGCTGCGCGGTCGAGAAGTCCATCCTGGGGGACAACTTTTCTTTCACAGTCCTCTACCGGCCTCTATCGGTCAGAAAACAAAAGTTCAGCGGGAAAGGGACGACTTTGTAACCTCTTTTTTCATTTCAAAAATCTTTAATCTGCAAAGGGCCCTTTCTCCCGGGAGGCCGGGGACTCGCGGCGGCCCCGCCACCCGCTCCTTCCCGGGGCTTGGATCCTGGCGGCCGCCGCGCCGCGCCCACCCACGCGGGCCCCTCCAACACCGGGCCCACTGGGCTCTCTGGCACCGGCGGCCGCGGGAAGCCCCGGGCAGCGCCAGGAGTTTCCCAGTCCTCCTTTCACAATGAAATCCACCCCCAAACACCGAAGTCCGAAGTTTGGCGGCTTTGAGAACCCGGCAAAGCCCCTAAAGCCCCCGCTCGGTCAGAGAGAAGCCTCGAGTCCCCGCCCGGCCGGTCCCCTCCGGGAAAGGAGACGCGAGGCCTATAGGGCTCGGCTTAGGCCGCAAAACTAGGGACCCAACCGGACCCACACGCAGCGGCTTCTCCCGGGGACGAACGCCCTTGCCGGGCAGAGCTGCTGAACCCCAGGCGTCCCCGCCACACTCCCGCCCCTCCCGTGTCCCGCTCCCCCACCCCCGCGGGAGGGGAAAACAAGCCGCCCTCCACCCCGAACCCCAAGCCAGGAAGCGGCTGACGCGGCTCCGCACTTCACATTTTGTTCCTTCAACTTCGGCTGAGGCTCCCCGGCGGCTTCTCTCGCCCCCGGCCACTCGGCGCCGCCGAGGCCTTACCGGCACCTCCGGGCAGCCCCGCCGGGCCTCGGTCCCGCGCCCCCACCCCCCACCCGCTCCAGTCTCCCCTTCCGTCCCCTCCCTCCACCAGCCGAGGGCGGGAGCCGAGCCGCCGCCGCCTTTACCTCCTCCTCATGCGGGCGGAAGGTGCATCGAGCGCCCGGGCCTCTGTCAGGTGGTTGCGCCGCCGCCCCTCTCCGGGCTGCACACAAAGCGGCTCCGCCGGTCCCGCCGCCGCCGCCGCCGCCCGCCCCGGAGCGGCGCTGGGGCTGGCGGTGCCGAGGAGGAGCAGTCGCCGCGGGGGGAGACGCGGGGCGAGTGAGCGCTGGGCGGGGAGACACTGCCGCTCTCCGTCTGGCCGAGGAAGAGCAGCCTCGGAAAAGGCTCCTCCGGGAGCGTGTGCTCGTGTGTTCGCCCCGGAACCCCGGGCCCGCCAGCCGGCACCTCGCGCCGGCCGGGTCCGCCAACCCGGACCCGGACGCCCCTCGCAGCGGCGCGCGCCCGGCAGTCCGTGCTCCGGGCAGCCGGCGCCTCTCGCACCCACCAGTCGGTCACGCGAGCGGTGCGGGAGCACGCGAGAGAAGGGCGCGCGCCTCGCTCCCGCCCCTTCCTCCGCAGGCCGTGCCTCCGCCTCCCTCGGGCCTGAGGCGGTGGCGCGCGGGGCAGACAGCGCCGCCACCCGGTTGGCGCCAAGACCTGCCGCGGCGAACGCCTCCGGGAGGACTAGACCCAAAAGGCGAGCGGAGGAGGAGCCCGGCTGGCGGGAAGCGAACCGGTCCCCGCGGCCCTGTGAGGGCAAGCGGGACGAACAGGGCTTTATCTTATGCCGCGGAGATGAGTTCATGACTTTTGGGGTTCACCCTGAGGGACGTGGACGGAAATGGTTGAAAAACGGCGAATTACTTGGTGAAAATGAACTGATTTCCTCCCCAGGGACGGAGGATCTACAAACTGAGGAAAAGTTTTGCAACATGGTACAACGTGGGCCGCTCATTCTTGTTCCTTCTGACAGCCACCACAGTTTGCCCTCCCCTCTTTAGATGTCTAAAATTAGTATTTTGAAAGCAGCAAAATATGAAAATAGCATTGAGTCGAGTAGTTCTTAAAGAAAGGTCTGAAACGTAGGATCCTGGGCTCCACTCCCAAACCTGGAGAATGAAGATCTATGAGACTGGAATCCAGAAATAAGCATGTTTACAAATTAGATAGATGGCTCTTGTGAATATGGAATAATTCATTTTTTTAAGTGTTAAGTATACCGAAGAATAACTTTCTTTCATCCAAAGGAAAGCCCAATGCAGTGGTGTTTGAGCAGTTTAATGTAAAAGAAAATTGAAGCAGATGAACCTCAGAAGCACGTACATAATTTCCGAAAATGAAGTTGAAAAAAGAACACAATAATGTGAAATAGCAGGCAGCTCTTGAAACTGACCACTACCATAGTTTAAAATTATATTCGATTATTTATTTAAATTATTCTTGATGGATATCCATCGGTCTTTTCCACATTCTTTGCTTGATCTTAAAAATATTATAGGTGCTGGGACTTCCCTGGTGGTGCCATGGATAGGACTCCACGCTCCCAATGCAGGGCGCCCGGGTTTGATCCTTGGTCAGGGAACTAGATCCCACATGCATGCCACAACTAAGAGTTCGCATGCTGCAACTAAGGAGTCTGCCTGCTGCAACTAAGACCCAGCACAACCAAATAAATAAATAAATATTAAAAATTCTTTCTAAAAAAAAATATATAGGTGCTGCCCTCACTGAATTGTTTTTCAGGTATTCCACAAGGGAACAATCATCTTGGAATCTAACACACCACAGTTGCTGATTTGCTACAACTCTGCCCAAAAGTCAGAGCTTTGTTCTTGGGCATTTAGAGTAGCAGGCAGAATCCATTTAAGATTGTCTTCATCCAAACTATGAAATTGACCAAAACCTACACTCTTTTTAGGCTCTTCTCTCACATATGATTTTTAAAAATCTGTCACATTTAAATAGCTAAAGAGTGCTGCTTTTTGTTTTCATTCTTGCTCTAAGTAATTTACCCATAATTAAATGGAGTTTTGTATATACCCATAAGTTTTAATTTTATACAACTTATTACTTTTTTGATACTGTTTGATTTTATAAACACTCATAGGATAGTAAGCCCTAAGGATTATAACACATAAAAATGTTGAATTTATATAATTCTAAAATTCAGGAATTCTGAAATTCTTGTTTTTACTTTCTTTTTTTAAAAGTTTTCACTTAGTGTAAATGATAAGAGGTACATTCATTTGAGCAACAATTATTTAAAGAGGGCCTATTATGCAAGGCATTGTTTTGGGCACTGAGAAAAAAATCTGTAGTGGGGAAGTGGACAAAAATCCCTACCTGTTGTGGTAGAGCTTAATTTGTTTGGGGAGAGATAGACAAAAAAAATAAATAAATTGCTATGGAAGAAAATAAAGTAGAGAAGCAGGGGTGAGATGCAGACCACATATAACCTTTTAGGCCTTTGGCCTTTGGAAAGACTTTGGCATGTACTCTGAGATGGAAGTGTTTTAAAAAGAGAAATGATATTATATGATTTATGTTCTATGCGCTAGGCAACCTTTGACAAATTAATCTTTCTGTACCTCATTTTCCTCATCTGTAAAACAAGGATAATAGTTTCTATTTCAGAGGGTCATTATGAGGGATAAATAAGTTAACATTTGTAAAGTGCCTAGAATAGTAACTGGTACATACTAAGCTCCACATAATTTTTTTTTTTTCCTTTTGCGGTATGCGGGCCTCTCACTGTTGTGGCCTCTCCTGTTGTGGAGCACAGGCTCCAGACACTCAGACTCAGCAGCCATGGCTCACGGGCCCAGCCGCTCCGCGGTATGTGGGATCTTCCCGGACCGGGGCACGAACCCGTGTCCCCTGCATCGGAAGGCGGACTCTCAACCACTGCACCACCAGGGAAGCCCCCACATAATTTTTTAGTATATGTAAAATGAAAGAATCACTCTAGCTGCTGGGTTGAAAATAATGTAGAGATGCAAAAGTAAAAGTAGGGTAACCAAGTATAAGACAACTGCAAAAATCCCAAGGAGAGATGGTAATAAGAACTGGGTAATAACAGTGGAAGTGATGAAAAATGGTACAAGAAAAAGAGAGGAGTCAAGAAAGCAAGGATGGCTCCAAAGTTTTTGACCTGTGTAACTAGAAGGATGAACTTACCACTAACTGGGATGGGGAGGACTGTGCTTGGAACAGATTGAGAGTCAGAATGTCTTTTAGAATCTAAGCTATTTAAAAGTTAATTTAGGGCTTCCCTGGTGGCGCAGTGGTTGTGAGTCCGCCTGCCGACGCAGGGGACGGGGGTTCGTGCCCCGGTCTGGGAAGATCCTGCATGCGTGGAGCGGCTGGGCCCGTGAGCCATGGCCGCTGGGCCTGTGCGTCCGGAGCCTGTGCTCCGCAACGGGAGAGGCCACAACAGTGAGAGGCCCGCGTACCGCGAAAAAAATAAATAAATAAATTAATAATAATAATAAATCAATAAAAGTTAATTTAACAGTTACTCAGCTCCTGCAGTGGGTAAGGCATTATACTAGGCCCTAGGGAAATATTTAGAAAACAAGAAGGCAAAGTCCCTGATCTTGACAGGATCAGAGTCTAATGGAGGAATCACAGACATACAACGAAACATAATCAAGGCAAGGGTGTGATTTATATTATAATAGGGATTTACATTATATTGTCTGGGAGCCTCGGAAAGGGGTGCTATGGGAACTTCCCAGAGGAAGGGGCATTTGAGGCTGGGCGTTGGAGGGTGAGTTGTTGTGGTGAGTAGTTTTTGTGGGGAGCAATAGTTAACAGAGATAACCACAAGGTGAAAAAAAGCCTTGAGGTAATTAAGTGCAAATTCTTTTTGAGGAAAAGACTTTGATGTGATTAGAACAATAGTTTCATAAAAGAGTAGCTTGGCTTTGTGAGACTTATTCTACCCCCACTTAATTTCCATGAGCCCCTCTCCCATATACAAATGTACAAGCATACAATCTATGTACAAAATGGCATCCAATGCAGCTTCAGGACAAATCCCTAACCCCCTATTTCAATCATACTACCAACCACAAATTCTTCCTACATAGAAATTCTAGATCCAAACTCTAGGGCACTGCAACAGTGGAAATGTTCCACACTTGCATTGTCCAATACTGTAGGTACCAGTATAAAACACCTGAAAGGTGGCTACTACAATGAAAGAACTAAATTTTTAATTTAATTTAATTTAAAAAAATCTATGCAGCCATTAGTGGCTACTATATTTGACAGTGCAGCTCCGGAGTGAAAAGTTTGTAGGAGTGACTGACAGAAGATGAGGGTAGAGGATAAACTGTTCACCCTGAATGCTGCAGATGTTGAACAGAGTGGTAGTTTCAAAGGATGAATTGGGGTAATAGGAGACTAAAGACGTTTATAGTGAAAGTGAATTAAGGTAAAAATACAACCAAACAGATAAAAATGAAAAAATATTTAAAGCAGTTTTTAAAAATATGTTTTTAATTTATCTGAAATTCTTTATTCGCTTTTCAATTTAAAATGTAACTAGCTAATTTATCCTGAGTAATTTCACAGATTAAACATTTGAATCTTCTATATACCTCTGGTCACAGAGAAATTTTAACAATACATCATAATTAGTGTGAAACTAAAAAAATTGTACTTTAATTTATTTAAGTGTCTTTCCAGATATCACTGACAGCTTAGCTAAAATTTAAGTATATTTAGGCATAGGATAATAACATATCTATCTATAGTGAATGAAATGAATTTAACATGTTTCACTGATGACTGATGGCTAAAAATATGAAGTCTGAATCATTTTAGCCTAGTGTGACCAAGATGTTAATGATTAACTTATTTGTCATGGTAATATAAAGACTTTATTTGAATCTTGTTTACTACCTTAGACTCCATGCACATCTCTCTTCAATTTTTTTTTTTTTTTTTTTTTTTGCGGTACACTGGCCTCTCACTATTGTGGCCCCTCCCGCTGCGGAGCACAGCCTCCGGACGCGCAGGCTCAGCGGCCATGGCTCACGGGCCCAGCCGCTCTGCGGCATGTGGGATCTTCCCGGACCGGGGCACGAACCCGTGTCCCCTGCATCGGCAGGCAGACTCTCAACCACTGCGCCACCAGGGAAGCCCCTCTCTCTTCAATTTAAAGTGTGAAGGCTGACCTGCATCATTAATTATATTAGCTTTCTTAAAATTGTTTTATCAAAATTAAGTATTATTTAATGAGCAGGGACAGCAAACTAAAGCTAAATATTTTCAAATATGAAAGAAACTACAGATGTAAACAACATGAGTATATCTTAGTGACATACTATGATAACCTATTTATAAAGTTCAAAAGCAAAGATCAGGATGTTGGTTACCCCTGGAGTACAAGGGAAAGCAGGGAGCACAGGGGAACAATATGGGAGAATGAATACATAGGCAGATATTTTCTTGTTAAAGCTTTACTTTTGGGTGTAGTGGTGGCTTCATGTACGTTCATTATATGTTA